AATAAACCACCAGAAAACTGGAAGTGGTGCTGTAGCTCAAGTGGTAGAGCGCTTGCCTTGAGCTGAAGAGCTGAGCGACAGCGCCCAGGCCCAGAGTTCAAGCCCCACAACCGCCAAAAAAAAAAAAAAATCGGCCCTAGTGGTACACACCTGGAATCCAGACACTTGGCATTATAAATTGTGGAGCTGTGGAAGCTGGCTCTGGCTATGTACATGGCAACTGTCTCAAGAAAAAGAAGGAAGAGGGTCAAGTGGTAGAACTCGGCAAGGGCAAGACCTTGAATTCAAACTCCACCACCATCTTCCCAACCCACATTTACTGTACACAAATTGAAAATAAAAGGGTAAGAGCTCAGCAAACATTTGTAGGAAAACAAATGTAGGGCTGGGAATGTGGAGTGCTTGCCTTGCATGCATGAAGCCCTGGGTTTGATTCCACTGTCAGTACCGCATACACAAAAAGCCGGAAGTGGCACTGTGGTTCAAATGGTAGAGTGCTAGCCTTGAGCAAAAGAAGTTCAGGGACAGTACCCAGGCTTAGAGTTCAAGCCCCAGGACTGGCCAAAAAAAAAAAAAAAAAGTAAACCATTTAGCAAATCAGGGTGCTCTGGTAACGTTTATTGTGAGTAGCACTTACTGTGAGAATGATCAAGATTTAAGGTTAAACTACTTCACAGAAAGTGCTCTTTTGGAGGCTGGTAGAGTCCCCATAGGACTTTGGTTTTTGTAGGTGTTGGAGGCCACACTTACCCCTTAAAGCATACCTGCCTCTCCAAGTCCCATTTCTAGGTAGCTGGCAGGGAGATAGACTGCTTCAACTGGGAGGATGCCCTGTGCTCTAAGGCTGAGAGAGAGATCATGTATTCATTTGGCAGTAAAACCCAATGTTTCACAAAGTCAAATGTCCTACTTCTAAATCTTCCACTCCCAGAGCTTGACTCTTCAGTAAGTTCTTTTCTTTTTTTGGGGGGGTGGGGCAGTTGTGGGGCCTGAACTCTGGGCCTGGGCACTGTCCCTCAGCTCTTCAGCTCAAGGCTAGCGCTCTACCACTTGAGCCTCAGCCCCACTTGTGGCTTTTTTTTTTTCTTTTTGTTTATGTGGTGCTGAGGAATCGAACCCAGGGCCTCAGACATGCAAGGCAAGCGCTCTACCACTGAGCCACCTTCCCAGCCCCAGTAAGTTCTTTTCCATCTTAGACTACCCACGATGTTTATTTTAAGCATACGGATGAGCAGCCAGCTTCCCCACTTCCTAAGGAATACCTAGGGTAAAAACGGAATTATTGTGAGCCTCAAATATGTTCCAGGCAAAGGCTTACAGACTGGCTGCTTCTTGAAAATAAAGAGGAAAATTCGCATCAAGTTTCAAGCCCCTATTTAACCTCTCACTTGCTGTGTGACTTTAGCCTGCACTTCAGGATCTGAGGACAAGTCTAATTTTCCCCATTCCCAAGTAAACACAACTTAAACCTTTGAGATAGTCAGACTTCACAAAGATGGCACACAGATAATTGCTGCCTTTTTCCCTGCAGAAGTTACATGTCCAAAGATGATATAAATATAAGAGTCTCACGGACTTCCCTGCCTGGGCTGGCTTTGAACCACGATCCTCAGATCTCAGCCTCCTGAGTAGCTAGGATTACAGGCATGAGCCACCAGCACCTGGCTTAGATGATATATTAGTCAGTCATGGGGCTTGAACTCTGGGCCTGGGTGCTGTCCCTCAACTCTTCAGCTCAAGGCTAGCACTCTACCACTTGAGCCACAGCGCCACTTCAGGCTTTTTGTTTATGTGGTACTGAGGAATCAAACCCAAAGCTTCATGCATGCTAGGCACTCTACCACGGAGCCACATTCCCAGCTCAGATGATGTATTCTTATATGCAGAAATCCTCACAGAGTCCATTAAGAAACGGCTAGAGCTAGTAAATTCAACAAAGTTGCAGGATACAAAATAAAAACTTGTTTTATTTGTGAGTGCTTACAGCAAGCAACCGCAAGAATGCCATTTAAAAAAGCATCAAAAAATTTATACTAGAGTTGATCAAGATTTGTAAACTAAAATCTAAGTGGCATATATCTATAATCCCAGCACTCAAGGCCGATGCAGGAGGATCTTCTAACCCAGCCTCCTGAGCTACATACTGTGAGCGCATTCAAGATGTCAATACTCAACAAGAAGTAATGTACAGATTCATTACGGACTTAATCAAGGGCTTGGGTTAACTGAAGTGATAGAGGCACTAAGATCAAACCCTAGTATCGGGGTTGGAGTGGCGGGGAAAACCTTGTGAGAGGGGCTGGGAAGGTGGTTCAGTGGTAGAGTGCTTGCCTTGCATGCATGAGGCCCTGGGTCCGATTCCTCAGCACCACATAAGAAAAAAGCCGGAAGTGGGGCTGTGGCTCAAGTGGTAGAGCATTTGCCTTGAGCTGAAGAGCTGAGGGACAGCGCCCAGGCCCCACGACCGGACCCCCCCCAAAAAAAGAAAAAAACTTGTGAGAGAAAAATACCGGGATGATTTTCTAAGGACGCTCGCTAGGAGATTCTATTGCTTGCTTAAGCGAAGAACCACATATTGTCGTTCTGACCTTACTGTTTTAAGAGTTAGAACCGGAGGGAGCAGCGCACCGGTCCTGCCATCGGGTAAACCCACTGCCACCCCAATGTACCGCACGGCGCGGAGCGGTCTGCATCGCCGGGAGGGCTTGCCTTTTTTTTGGTCGGTCGTGAGCCTGAACTGGGCCTGGGCGCTGTTCCTCCGCTCTGCAGCTCAAGGCGAGCCCCGACCCCTTGAGCCACAGCGCCACTTCTGGCTTTTTCTACGTATCTGGTGCTGAGGAATCGAACCCAGCGCCTCAAGCGTGCAAGGCACCGTCCCAGCCCAGGACTTGCCTTCTGAATATAGTCTCGCTGTGTCGCCCAGGCTGGCCTCGATCTCCCGAGCCTCTGCCTATGTTCCCCGAGTTCTGGAGTTGCAGACGGGCCCCAACACGCCCTGAAAGGAGTCCACAGTCGTGAACAAGGTTTCGGGGACAAAGGGTAGGGGCTTAGTCTTGGGGGATCCTGGGGACCAAGGTCGAAGAGCCGAGCGGGCGACGCTCACGCGGAACCCCTGCCCTCGCCCCACGGGTGTCTACTCGCGCTCCGGCAGCCCCTAACCTTGTCCCTTCCTTCTCACCGTGCGGCGCGGTCGGCGGAAGGTTGTCGTCACTTCCGCCCCGTGGCGCGCGCTGGGGGGGGGCGGCGTGGCCGCTGATTGGCTGCGCGCGCACGTCGGCCGCAGGACGCGACTCTGCGCGGCGCCGCCCTTCCCTCAGTGGTGCCTGCTCGGCGGAGCGAGCGGAGCCGGCCGCTCGGCTGAGATCGAAAGGGGAGCCGCGTCGCAAGATCGAACTGCGGAGCCTGTCGCTGTCACCACGCAACGTGACCCGCGACCCCGCACCCCGACTCCTTTTGGCTCGGCCCGCGCGCCCCAGGCCCGGCCCGGCCGGCGCGACGGGAGGATGAGCGGCGGGCGGCGGAAGGAGGAGCCGCCTCAGCCACAGCTGGCCAACGGGGCCCTCCGCGTGTCGGTGTGGAGCAAGGCGCTGCGGAGCGACGCGGCCTGGGACGACAAGGTGCGGGGGCCCGGGGAGGGAGCGCGGGCGCAGCCGGGAGGACGGCCTCGGGCTCCGGGGGCAAGCGGCGAGGTCAGGGCTGGAGAGTTGGACGCCCGCAGTCGGGCCGTCTACCCGATCCGGAGGGAGAGCTGGACTCTCCTTCCTCCTCCCGGCACGATCTTGAGAAAGTTGGCAAATCGGAACGGTGCCAGGCTCTGTCCGGGAGCAATCAATCCCCTGACTCGCCGGCCGACCCCGAGTGGGGGCCGCGGCGCACTACCGTGCTCGCTGGCTTGTTGAACAGGAAGACTCGGTGCCTTAGTTGAGTCCAAAGATCGCCCTTTGGGGTGAGTGAGAGGAGGAAGACGTGCTGCTGCCGGATGGTGTGAGACACGGATGTGGGGCTTCGGGATGCTCTTGCTGATCCCATGCTCAGGGGCTGAGTGTGTCCACTTACCACCTCTCCTCCAGGATCTGGAAGGAACTGCCCCAAGCAGCTTCGTTCCAGGTGGCTTGAAAAGCTTCTTAGAGTTGCAGTCCTTCTTTTGTTTCTCCATAGTGCCAAAGTTGAGTTTTCCTCCAGTTCCGGCTGGGGGGGAGAGGGGGGAGGGGAAGCATTTCCTGAAGGTGCCCTTGTCCGGCCCCCAGCCCTGCCCAGCTCTTGCAAAACCTGCACTCTGTGATCTGCTGTGTCATTTCTAACTTTCCTGGCATAAGAAACCTCAGAAGCCTAACTCTTCAGTACCCTGTGAAATTTAGATTTGCTGGCACCTGCCTCCACCATTTCAGTTCTTAATCTTTTCTTTCTTCTGTGACTTGAGTAAAAATTCAGTGTATAGGAAGGTGGTACTGAATTAAGTTAAAAGCTTTTCTGGGGTTGGGAATGTGGCTTAGTGGTAGAGTGCTTGCCTAGCATGCATGCAGCCCTGAGTCTGATTCCTCAGTACCACATAAACAGAAAAATCTGGAAGTGGAGCTGTGGCTCAAGTGGTAGAGCGCTAGCCCTGAGCACTGAGAGGCTCGGGGACAGAGCCCAGGCCCTGGGTTCTTCCTTAGTCCTCTAATAAGAGTTGTTTGTGGCCAGCGGCACAATTATTATTATAGCCATTTCATTAGAAGCTACTTTGTGCAGCTTCTTAAAAAATAACGATTTCTCTATAAAGTTTTGATTTAGAGCCCCTACTCTGAAAGTAATTGTTTAAGGTATCTAAATAAATTTGTTTACTACCAGTTGAAGTGATGCAAGAAAGACGCATGGCTTTAAGGGGTAGGGGAAATAGTCCTAGGAAGTTTTTCCTTTACCCACCTATGGCTGCCCTGTGGCACTCACTTCAGATAATGTGTGCTCTCTCTCTCTTCTGCAGGATGAATTTTTAGATGTGATCTACTGGTTCCGACAGATCATTGCTGTGGTCCTGGGTGTCATTTGGGGAGTTTTGCCATTACGAGGTTTTTTGGGAATAGCAGGGTAAGTCTTAGGTAGCTCACATTTTCTTGGTTTCATTTTTGTTGTTGGGAAAGAGCTTCACTGTGTCATCCAAGCTCACTTGGAACTGGACAGTTCTTCTTTCTTTGCCTCTCAAGTTCTATTACAGGTGTAAAATACCACACTTGGCTCTTTTCCTTGGAAAAACAGGTTTTGTTTTCCCTCTGGGGAGAGGGCTGTGTGTGTATGAGGTGATGGACACAAAGATGTGGGTTCCACAGTAGCACTGCTGAGTCTGGTAGGTTGCTCTTCAGTTCATCCAACCCAGGAACATCTCAGGTCAGGCCTGGTGCCTTGCTGACGACTTAGCCAGTCTAGTCATTCTTGGCTCTAAAGTTATTTCCTGTAAGAAGCTCCTTGTTGGCAGCACACTCCAATTATGGCATAGCCTTGTTCCCCATGGAAATTTGGGACCTAGAGGAACTGACAAACCTAATAATCATCTCCCTTGTGCCTGGCACTGTACTGAATCTTGACTTTGGCAAAAACTATTTCAGGTCTTTACATTTGAAAAGCAGCCCAGAGTAGAAGGTTGGGCCTTCCATGTTTTTCTTGCTCTCTGGCAGCACAGTTGCCACCAGCTCCTGGTGACTGTATGTTAACAAGCTACTGTGCTCGTCAGATTGAGTGAGAAAGATGTGTTAGAAGTAGTTTAAGATGGCTATTGTGAAAGTGGAGGGCCCTGCTTTTTAATTTAAAAAACCAACTTTTTGGTGCCAGTCTTGGGACTTGAACTCAGGGCCTGGGCACTATACATGAGCTTCTTTTGCTCAGCTGGTGTACAACCACTTGAGCCACTGTATCACTTCTTGCTTTTTTTTTTTTGGTCGGTCATGGGGCTTGAACTGTGGGCTTGGGCACTGTCCCTGTGCTTTTCAGCTCAAGGTAAGCCCTCTACCGCTTGAGCTGCAGAGCCACTTCAGTTTTCTAATGGTTTATTGGAGGTAAGAATCTCACAGAGTTTCCTACCTGGGCTGGCTTTAAACCACAACCCTCAGATCTCAGCCTCCTGAGTAGCTAGGATTATAGGTGTGAGCCACTGGTGTCTGACTACTTCTGGCTTTTTTGGTAATTGGAAATCAGAATTTCATGGACATTCCTGCCGCAGGTGGCTTCAAATTGGGATCCTCAGATCACAGCCTCCTGAATAGTTAGGATGTGAATCAAAGCAGAGAGGAGACTGCCACAAGAAGAGAAAAACAAGCTAAAGACGAGGGTTTTTCTCATCTTCCCAAAGCCACTAGACTAGGAGAGCCCTGCACCTATCTGCTCTTTGCAAGATTCATAAAGGATTTCTCGTATGTTACCCTGTGTGGAAATCATTGTAAAGGACCAGAGTTGGTATTTCTCCTGCTGTGCCTGACAGATCCTCCTTCAGGGTGGCTATATAAACTTATATGCCAATTTTAAGTTTACCTCTGAAATGTGTGTGACTGAAAGGTAAACAGGAGTGGTGATGCAAGTAGATTGTTGAATGCAGTGTTTGGTACATCATAAATGGTTCACTGAATGCCATCACCTACAGTTAGCCTCATAAAGACATATGGCTGAGAAAATGGGAGAGGGTGTGTGGGCGTGAGCATGCCTTGGCATGGCTTGCCCGTCATGTGTGGAGCCCTTTTCCTTAACAGGGTTATTTCCAGCTCCCATCACTCATCTCTAGCCAGAGCCCCTTAGCCTGCTCCAAATCAACCTCCTGGCATTGGCTGGGTCCCAAGATTTCTGGCAGGAGATAGGCTCATTATGGCCAAACCAAGAACTGTATTTTGTGTTCTTCCTTACGCACTGTCTCTGTTAGTAGAACCATTGTACTCCCAGGGGTTTGGTGTAAAGCCTGTGGCTCCTTGTTCAGTAGTTGCCCAGTCCCTCTTCAAGCTGTATTTGCTCTCTTCTGAAACATGAGTACAGGTATAAAACCATCCATCCCCTCCCCTCTCTCCCCTCATTAACTCGCCCACACACTTACTGCTCAGTTAATACTGGTCAGCACACCCTGCTTACCAGCTTCCCCTTGGGTACATCCAACAAACACCATTGCACTACCTTACACCAGCCCATACTTCATCCATTGAGAAGGACCTCAAATAGGCTTAGCATGCGTCTACCCTTGAGCTACCTTAGTCTTTGCATTGTCCGTTTCTGCTGGTCTCAGATACATGGTTCCCTGTTAGACACAGTAAGTCTTGATGATGCCAGACGCTGGTAGCTCATGCCTGTAATCTTAGCTAGTCAGGAAGCTGAGATCTGAGGATCATGGTTCAAAGCCAGCTGAAAGTCCATAAGACTCATCTCCAGTTAACCACCAGAAAACCGGAAGTGGCGCTGTGGCTTAAATGGTAGAGTGCTTGCCTTGAGCTAAAAAGCTGAGGGACAGTGTCCAGGCCCGGAGTTCAAGCCCCAGGATGTCAACAAGAGAGGAGAGCAGGGTAGTGTTTATGCTCACTACATTTCAATTCCTGCAGCAGTTACACTATGGAGGTCAGAGCCTTTCCTGTGGTGTCTATGCCTACTGGTTTTATTTTATTTTAGATCAACATTAATTGCTTTATTATCCTGCCTTACAAATTAATTTGTAAAATTCTATTTAAATAGGTTCCTAAATAATGCCTCCTGGTTTTAATGCCACTCTTGTTGCTCTTGGCGTCTTAGTGGGTGGTGGGCTGAGGCAAGGATGCATGCTTAGTTGTACAGTAGGAACAGAGACACGCAGTAGGTATCCAGAAATGCACTCCCCCTCTTGTGCAGCCACATGCACTATTGCTTCCTCAGCTAGACCATGAAGAAGCAGAATAACATAATGTGTCCTCTGACCAACCTTTAGACAGAGCTGTGAAGGCCCATGGCCAGTATAGATAGGACTTTCTTAGGTTGCTCAGCACCCTTACCTTAATTCTGCCTTGCCCGAAGGGTACTTGAGGGATTTGTGTGTATGTTTGTGTGTGTGGCACTAAGGTTGGAACCCAGAACCCCATGCATGCTAGGCCAGCAGTCTACCAGACCCTACTTCAAGTTTTTTCATTTTGCTTTTGCTGGTTGACTAAGAATAGCTGCTCATTCACTAAATCTTGTAACTCAGCTGGATGGGTGACTTTATTGGGGACCTGGGTGTTTTTGTGTATTTCTGTATTTGTATATTCGTTTGCCTCTCCCCTCATACTCTTTAGCCTCCCCATTTTACAGATGGAAGAGCTGAGACCTATGGCAAGCAGCTGGCGCTGGGTCTCATAACAATGACATGGAACCCATCTTCTTGAGCCTGGAGCCTCTCTCCAGGTCATCCCTGACTAGCTGGGGAGTATAGGGAGTATATAGGACAGTGAGGTGGTATATATCAGTTATTTTGACAGAGCTGAGAAGTGCTGGTGGGAGCTGGGTCTTTGAAGCTTACGGTTTGTGTTTGGTATCTGTCCTCCCTTGTTCCAGATTCTGCCTGATAAATGCTGGAGTCCTGTACCTTTATTTCAGCAACTACCTACAGATTGACGAGGAAGAGTATGGCGGCACATGGGAGCTCACGAAAGAAGGGTTTATGACTTCCTTTGCCTTGTTCATGGTATGTGCAGCTAGCAGTTTAATTGCAGGTTCTGCCCATTTCATGAGATGTCAGCCGCTCAGGCAGGCCACTGGTTGACTTACACTCTGGGCTTGGGTGCCATTTTTTAAGAGGCTCTTGAGGCTGGAGGGCATCACCTATGTGTCTTGAGCTAGGTTGTCCAAAAAACATGGAATGAGATTTACAGTACAATCTCTATGTAACGTGTGAATTCTCTAGGCAGCTACATCTGATTCTCATCCTGGTGACACATTTATTCATAATAGCTAAAAAGTGCCAGCCACACAAGTCGCCATCACCTGATAGATGGATAAAGTTAATATACGTTCATCCAGCAGAATGTACTGAGAATTTCTTTAAAAGATTAGCCTTGTTACATGCCACAACATGAGTGAGCTCTGAAAATATGCTAAGTGGAAGAATCACTGCACAAAAGACCACAGGATTCCATTTATGTAAAATGTCCATAATGTGGTTTAGTGGTCACTAGTGGCTGAATAGAGGGAGGGAGGAATGGGAGCAGTTACTAATCGTGGGAACGGAGTTTTGTCCCAGAGGGATATTTGTAGGGGGGGATACTTGTAGAACTTTAGTAAAAATACTAAAATCTTCTGAATTGTACACTTTGAAAAAAGTGTAAACTTTAATGGAATTTCAAAGTTGTTTTTTAAGTTATATATTTTCCTGCGTCTAGAGTCTGGTCCAGACAAGGAAATCTTTGAGATGTGGCCCTACAGCATGTAATTTATTTTTATTTTTTGGGTCCGGTCATGGGGCCTGAACTCTGGGCCTGGGTGTTGTCCCTCAGCTCTTCAGCTCATGGCTAGCGCTCTACCACTTGAGCCACAGCACCACTTCGAGCTTTTTTCTTTTTGCTTATGTGGTGCTGAGAAATTGAACCCAGGGCCTCAGGCATGTAAGGCAAGCGCTCTACCACTGAGCCATCTTCCCAGCCCCCATACAGCATGTAATTTAAAGGAAAGTCTGAGAGGTTGCGGTGGGAAGTCTGATCAGAATCTGGTTCAGCGTGGTGGTGGTTGTATCTTCACGTTTGTTGCTAACCCTAACACCTGCTAGCCATGTAGCTTTCCTTGTTTTAGTTCCTCATCTGTACCCTGACTCATGAGGGGGAGGGAGTAGTTGGGGGCCATTTGGAAGCCAAGGCCAGCAAGCCTGAGCTGTGTCAGGGACAGCCTGATTTCAGTGAATCACCGCAAGCCTTCAGGTAGATGAAACACTCACTCCTGGGGAGTGCTCTGTATACATTCTCTCTCACCTGACATTTTCATCCATGACCTGTGCACATTGTCTCTCCTCTAGGTCATTTGGATCATCTTTTACACTGCTATCCACTATGACTGATGGTGGACAGCTTGCACCTGCCCCCTGTCCAGTCCAAAGGACCCTCATAAATCGAGCACAGAAACATGATTGTTGGGGTGTCTCTGCCACACGGAACCTGGGAGACCTGCATTTCCTGAACCGAGAGTCAGGGTTTTCTGCAAGGGTTGTGACCCAAAACTTTTTAAAGAACCATCTACCTTTGAGAAAGCATTTCTGGATTTGTCCATCATCAACCATTTCTTCTTGGATACCATCATGTACCAGCCATTTGCAGAGTGGAGCTGTTCTTTAATTTGACACACCTCTGGATCCGGATGCATCATTAAATTATCTTCCTTGGTTCTCCATCAGTTGTACAGTTTTTAAACTATCAGTGGCATTTCAAGTCTTCTGAAAACAGATGGCAGTATGTGCGGGTTGTAGCACAGTACAAGCAACATCTAGTAACAGCTTTCTTGTAGAATGTTTCCAGATGCTTGAATAAACAAGTCTTTAACTGCGACCCTGCTGACCATGCCTGGTGAAGCCTTTCTCTGCTGTGGCCTCAGAATCTGTAGACACCTTGGGGTGGTTCCTCCCACCCCTTTCTTCTTCCCTTCCTCCTTAGCAGCTGCAGCCAGGCCTTGTGGACATTAGGGATACTGGGCTCTAGCTTTGGTCTTGGCATTATATGAAAAGGGTTTGCTACCTTCTGACACCCATGCCAAGCACTGAGAAAGGGAACTGGCTCAAAAGTTGTCATTTTGTATTTGGCCACAAGATGGCAAAACTAGAGTAGTTGGGAGAGGTTAGCCAGGGCCGAAGGATAGGCCGCTGTGAGAAACATGAGCTGAGGGCTGAGGCTGGCCGGAGAAGGCTGCTGTAGGGAGCCATCAGCCGCTCTGATCGATCGCCTTTCTCTTCTGAGACTTGTAGTTTTTGAAAATGATCTTTTTTTCCCCTTGATGCTATTGGTGGTTTCTACCATATAATATGGCAGTGGGCATACAGGATAGGATGTAGGATGGGATTCGGGAGACCAGGATTGAGGTGATGTCCCAATGGCAAATGGATTAGGTCAGACCCTAGACATTTATTCTCTGGAGCCCTGGCTTTGAACTAGAGGTCACAGGCAGGGTCAAGGCTGGAGAGAAGGGGAGTGATTTCTTAGCACCAATAGAGGAAGTAGCAAAAGTTCAAGTGGAGTCCTGGATGCAGCTGTGTCCTAGCCCTCTGCTCACCGTGCACAACATCGCCTCGGTGGTGCTCAGTCCTTTCCGCCTCTGATCTTGACCTTGGCATCATCCAAGGAAATGTCCTCAGACAGACGGATATAGGAGCTGAGGGACTCCCGGAGCCCCTCGCTGAGAAGAGGCACCTCCCCTGAGGCAGGAGCTTCCAGGAACAGGAAGGAGCTGAGGACAAGGAAGAATCCGGGTGAGGGTGCCCTCTCTGTGCTCCCCATGCACTTCACGCCTGCTGATAACTAAAAGGCTCTCCTCCCTGACAGATCAAATGCCCATCTTCACCTCCTCATTCAGCCCCTCATTCCTCTGCCCCCATCCCCCAGCTTTCTTCCCACCCTAGTTGCGGGGCGGGGGAAGGGGAGGGTCTGTATCTGACTACACTGAATTCACAGCTGAATTCACTAAATTCATGTAGAGCCTGCAGTGGCCTGAGTGCTCCCAGATACCCTCCGCGCCACAGACCTACTCAGTTCTTCAGTACTGCTCTGCCTTCGCATCCCCACAGCTTTCCTCACCTGTCCAACTCTTTCCAGTTGAGCATTGTTCTCTGCACAGTCACAGGTCGGGGCATGTCTTTGCCAGGGAGTAGGCCAGACTTCTGCAGGACACAGGGCTCTTTGAGGAGGCAGCAGATGTCATCCGCCAGCTCTAGGAAAGAGATTCAGCCCCTTGCCATTGCTGACACTAGCCCTGTGCCTTCCTGTGTCTTCAGGACCCCTGGTCCTGGCACCTTTCCATACAAGAGTGAGACCCAAGCTGTTCTCAAGGAGGCTGAGAGCAATCAGGTGGTTGGGATTGTTCTGGGAGACAAAGTTCACTATTCAGTTGTGGGGCCTGAACTCTGGGCCTGGGCGCTGTCCCTCAGCTCTACAGCTCAAAGCTAGTATTCTACCACATGAGCCACAGCGCCACTTGTGTGACTTAATTGGACATGAGTCTCATGGACTTTTGTGCCTGCGCTAGCTTCAAATTGAGATCCTCAGATCTATTTCCTGAGTAGCTAGGATTACAGCCACCAGCGCCAGCTCATTGTGAACTTTGTGTTTTATTTACGGCAGTATTGGGATTTGAACTCAATCTTCTTTTTTGGGTGGGTGGGGGCGGTCCATCGTGGGGCTTG